CATTCAGTGAAACACACACACATACGCACACGCATACACACGCACACTCATGCATACACACATGTACACACATGTATAAAAATGCCGGCACACACACATACATATGACACATACATTCAGACATAAGCATAAACACGCACAAAATATATAATTGGTCAGCGCACCGACCGCCGGTGAGAAGATACGTTTTTTGCACAATTCTCCGCAAGTTTTTGTAGCTGGCGGCACTGTTTTTTCTGGCAGATGCTTCTAGATAAAAGAATTGATACTGGCCACCACGACTGTGAGAAAACATTTTCTTAAAATTTCAGCTTTCTAGTTTTTCTGGTTCCTAAGTAAACAACTTACTCGCAAAAAATTTTCGCGGACCTGTGATGGGAACCACACACACCTGGGGCTGAGTTTGAAGTCATTAAGTTGTACCTAGGTGAGGAACATTTCCTTAAGTTCCAACTTTTTAGCTTTCCAGATTCTTGAGTTAACATCTCACCTGCCGAAAATTTTTTCGGCCCCGTAAGTGAGAATTATGTGGGCAGCAATATTCATTTTGGGGATAGAGGCACGTAGATTAAGCTCCCAAAGTTTTAGCCTTGTAACTTTTGCAGGTTTCAAGATGAAAAATTGGTACAGACGCACGCACGCACATGCAGACAACCAGCCGACCATATACTTTTTTGCGTTGCATAAATGCAAAAAACGCACAAAAACATATACTGCGCATAAAACATACACACGCACACAACACATACATGCACGCAGAAGTATATATATGCTTCTAAATATATATATATATATATATATATATACATACTCGCCAAGAATACCAAGACTACTCGGATATCCCCTATTACAGATGTTACTAGGATGCTCTCACATGCCTAGCGTAGCTTTGTCATCGTAGGCTGCAAGCTTACAGTTAGTATTCCGTACTTCTCACACGTAGGTTTATTTTGCACAGCAGCAACATACATTCTCGACTGTACTCTATGAACAAGTTTTAAAAGGTTTTGGTGGAAAATAGAGGAATAGGCAAGTTGAGTTTTTAACGAATTGTCCTCTGCATTCCATTCTGTCTGTTGTGGAACAACCCATTCTTCCTCAAATATATTGATGTATCGAGACCTGGAAAAACAGGGGCGCTGGGAGAGGGCCTTTCTATCAAAATTTCCTCTTCGTCTTCATTATCTTTCTCCCGATAATGAAACGCAGGTATGTGGCGTCGTTGGAATCAAAGTTCTGATTGAAAATATAGTTTGCTACTTTTGATTAATTCTTTCCCTTCAGTTGCTAAATTCTGCAGTCTCAAAATCGAATTCAGCTATATAAATACCACAGCTCAGTTACACTCTATTTATTTTTCCCGTCACTCTGCTGATTTTTGTTTTACTTTCCGCTTGCATCTTTCCTTCCTTTCTCTTCCATTTCATCTAAGCCCGCGTCTTTCCTCACATCATGGCGGTGATAAAGATATTAGTTTACAGCCATAATTTGACACTGCGCATCCGTCACGGTCTCAATCAGGGGTTAGGTTATACAGACCTTATCTTGTATATCCAGCTTGCAACCCTTTGTGATCAAAAGCAAGGCAATATCGATGTGCGAACGTCTCAACGCGAGATGCAGCGCCGTTTGTCCGTCCTGAAAATTTTTTTACATTTGAAATGAGGAAAATCGATCTGCTCCCCATCATTTTTGTTCCACTTAATGTGTAAAAAGTACAGTGAAAATTACGTTCCCAAATTACCCTCATACGAAGATTAACCATGGAAAAATGGATTAATTTTTCTCCCCGTACTCGAACATGCAGACTTTCAAAGACAGGGTCCCGCCAATATGTTTTACATGCCGCATAGATGCAAAAAACGCATACGGTGATTTCCTTGGCAACCCATTCCAATATGA